TTCAAACATCTTGATTGAATTTTAATTAAACAATTACCTAATTTTAATTGGGAATTTATTTTATTATTTGGAAAGATTTAGATCTATATATATATATTTAGGAAAGAGTTAGAAATATAATCAAATAGAAAAAGTAAATTTGTTTTAACCTTGAAGATTTTTCGAGCATAATATAATTTATTTTAATTGGTAACTTATAGGATTTATTTTAATTGGTAAATTATTTTATTTTTTTGGCAAATTATTTTATTATTTTATCTATAAATGATTTGAATCATCTTGACTGAATTTCAATTAAACAATTACATATATAATTTGAATTGTTAATTTATTTAATAATTTGAAACATCTTGAATTTCAATTAAACAATTACCTATTTAATTTTAATTGGTAATTTATTTTTTAATTTGGTAAATTATTTTATTAAATAATTTCCTGTTTTATTTTAATATGTAACTTGTTTTAGTTGTTTTAATAATGGTTTGAAACATCTTGATTGTATTTCAAGTAAAAAATTATCTAATCTATAAATGATTTGAAACATCTTGATAAAATTTCAATTAAACAATTACCTATTTAATTTTAATTGGTAATTTATTTTATTATTTGGTAAATTATTTTATCAAATATTTACCTATTTTATTTTAATAGGTAACTTGTTTTAATAGTTTTATAGAAACTCTTTTATTTTAATTTATTTTATTTATAGAAACTATTTTATTTTAATTCATTTTATATTAATAAATAAATATTGAAATACTAAAACACTGAAACTCTACACTTTTAATAATAGTGTATATATATATATTTCATTTAACAATATGAACATGAGTAGATTAGAGACTTCGCGGAAAAAAAAATCCTCTCTATTAACTTTGTCATTGATGTCCAGTAAGCATCTTACGGTGATGATTAATGCAATATAATTTTGTCATCGCCAAATCAGCAAGGTAAGTAAAAAGTTTACTAATCTACATTTTATTTTACCATATATACTAATAAATTTTATATAGTTATATTTTATATGATATATTATACTATTAAAAAAAAGTACCATTCAACTTTACATTTTTTATTTAAATTAAAATACCTTTTTACTTTTTCTCTTCTATATTGGAATTTTGATCCTATATCGTTTATTCTTCTTCCGTCCCAAATAATGTAAATGGATAAGAATAAACAAATTGAATTTTGGATTGCCCACGGACAATGTAAAATACATTCCAAAATTTGGTTTTACAGATTCTAATAACCTAGACTTCAAATTCGTTGAATAACCAAAGTCACCCCAGGATTACCTCTAAATAAGATAATAGTTATTTTCTCATTTTGAAAAAAATTAAAAAAAAATAAAAATCACAGCGTCTCACTTACAATTGCCAAATGGCCAGAATCTTCTTTCCCAAATAGGTCTAATTTTGTTTCTTTGAAGAGAGAGTTTTTGCTTCGTTCAGACTTAATTTTAATGAAGGGAAGTTTTCATTTCGTTTGGATGCAAAGCTGACTTTTTGTGGGGAAGGTTTCGTTTTTTCTTTTTTGAGAAGTTTAATTTTCAATTTTTTTAGCCACTTATTTTGTCAAGTGGGACCCATAAGTAAAAATTAAATTCATAAAATATTACAATATTTTAAATTGATAGCTTGGTAAAATACAAATTTAACTCAAGTCTCAAGTCAATTTTTTTACTCCTCACTGCACCAAGGGGTTTTTTTCCTTGCAACTTTTACTGATTTAATGTTAGTGTGACGTCAACTTTATCACTGATATTATAGTCACGTCTCTGTGACGTCAACTTTATCATTAATATTATTGTGACGTCTCAGCTCATTCGAATGTCGAATTTTTTGGACTAAATGTCATTTTCCTATTAGCAGGGAGTGTTATTTTATCTTTTTTACCTCAATTGTTATTATATTATTTAATAAAAAAAGTGAAAAGATGAGAACTATTTTTATATTTTATAATTTAATTGTCCTTGACAAAAACAGATTTGTACCTTCTGTTTTTTTTTTTTTTCAAAGATTTTGTCCTTGGACCTCTTGTTGACTGTTATCATTGTCAGTTTTGCCTACAATTGGTTTCCGGTTATTTGCAGCCAAAAACCCATTTGGTTACACACAAAAGTTTGGGGTGTCTTCATATACATACGGAATTTTGTGATTGTCTGATTTATGTCTTTTGAAAGGGTCAACTGTAAAAAAAATCCTTAAAATATGTTTACAGTGCATATCACATATCTTATGTGCAAAAAAATATTCTTTAAAATTTCAATTTGTTAAAAATAAGTCCCTTTGACAAATTTAAACCCTAAATTAACTAAATTACTCCTACTAAACTATTTTATAAAATATATAAAAATAAATAATTTTGTAAAATGATCAAAAAATATACTATTGGAGGATGTCCCTCATGTAGTGCAAAAAAATATTCCTAAAGTTTTAATTTGATGCAAATAGGCCCCTCTGACAAATTTAAACCCTAAGTTGATCCATTCGTTGAAATATGATAGGCTAATAAGTAGAACGTATGTGGATAATAAGATATTAAGGAACTCCTTCATTTAGTATTATCTTTGTCCTGAAATAAATGTCTCTTTTAAAAAACTGTGATTCATTCATAATTTTCCTAATTAAAGAGACATTTATTTTAAAACAGCGAAAATATTCTAAAAATTAAGTTGGACTACATTTAAACTGACTTGCACAAAGCTCTGGCAATTATAGAGTAGAGTTGGCAGGCCGATCCTGACAAAGGCGACCCGCCTAGGGCCTCTCTCTCCTCATCATTCATGTTTTTTACTTAAACACTAATCAATACAGAAATATTGAGCCCATATATTTACATACTTCTTCTCTCCTGATAAGAATCTTAATATGGTTCCAAAAATTTATATTCTTAAATAACTTTTTTTTCTTTCTCATTTGCCCTTTCTACAATAATACTTTTTTTTTTTTCCAATAAGTTACAGTCACATTAAATATTAATTATTAAATATGTATTTAACCACCACTTGAAAAAGTGGTGAAACTTTCCCATATATATATATATCTATATATATTAAATATTAATTATTAAATATGTATTTAACCACCACTTGAAAAAGTGGTGAAACTTTCCCATATATATATATATATAAACTTTTATATTTTATTTTATGGGTTTTTTACATATAAATATCTGTACTTCTGGGGTAATATTTACACTGTGATATAGTCAGAGTTTCATAGTTTTCGAAAGATAAAATTGACCAAAATGATGACGTGGGCATGAACTTTCACTTGTTCACTATAATTTGTTGTCCAAAATAACCTTTTCACTTTTAAACCAAATTACCATACTGCCCATTTCATTAATTCAACCAAACAAAGCCTATAATTTTTGTCAAGGCACTGATGTGTTCATTCCCCACCGCCACCGCTTCTCTCTTCCAGTCTTCCTTCAGTATTCAGATATACATTACACAATCATATATGTAATATCAGCCTCCGGCATGAACTGCCCAGGTAACATGTATCTTCCGCATCAAATTTTAGTTGATAGCTTCTCGGAGAGCATCTTCAACAAATTAAACACAAGCTTAATGATATATATATATATATATATATATATATATATATATATATATATAGAACCAACCATGTATGATCGAGGAAAACCAGATAGAGAGAGATGGAGGAAAACCATATAGAAGCCCTGTAAGTCTGCAAATATATATATATATATTTTTGAAAGCTAAAAGTCTGCAATTGTTAGTGTTGTGTCATCGAGTCCATTTTCCCCAAATACCGAACTAAAGCCTCAGGCTTCAAGAAGTCAGGTGACCTTATCACTTTGGCCTCGTCGTTTCCAGCCATTTGAGACGGACCAGTGGCTTTTTTTTTGTTGCTTTGTTTTGTATGAGCGGAACAACATTTGCATGGGATGTTGACGGAAGGCGGTGAAGAGCTTCTGCTCATTGGAGAAGAGGAATTTCTGACCGTTGGTGCGGCATATATGTGTAATGTATATCTGATGGAAAGAGAGAATCGGCGGCGGCGGGGCGTGAACACAATCAGTGCCCTAAAAAGAAATTTTGGGCTTTGTTTGGGTGAATTAATGAAATAGGGCAGTATGGTAATTTGGTTCAAAAAGTGAAAGGTTATTTTGGACAACAAATTATAAGGAAAAATAAAAGTTATTTGGTTGATTATATTTTTCAAAATTATACGACTTTGACTATATCACAGTGTAAATATGGACTCATAAGTACAATTATATGTAAAAATTTATTTTTTTTATAATGAAGAATTTGTAGGAGTATTCTATTGGGATTTTTTAAATCAGATTATAATCTTCTTTTTCTTTAATTATTCTTTTAGTTTTATTAACTTTTGTTATTATATATTTGTGTATATATATATTTCATATATTTGTATATTCTAACCAAACTTAAATACAAGAATCTAATTAATAATTTTGCATTTTACAAAGTAAGAGGGATGATTTTTAAATAAATATCATTTAATATTAATATATTATAAAAATATCAATTTTTATTTTTCACCAACACCCCAAATTATTTTGATCCATTCATGGTGGCTATTGTCTCAGTTTAATGAAAATTTCGCACTCTTATCAAAATTTTATGCTAAGGTCTCGTACTTTTCAAAATCTTGAAAATTTAACAAGTAATTTGAAATTTAATTTCGTTGATAGCCATCCAATCAAATCGAGGATAGTGGTTTGAGATATAGTTTGATCTTGTTCATATTTAACACATTTACACTCTTATGTCACTCTCGCCTATTTGCAATGAGTTGAGAATTTTGCATGGCTTTTGTATGACGCGATAGAGTGTCACATAATTACGTAGAGTATTTCTGGAGTTGAAGATGTTGGGGATTATAAATATTTGTGGAGGGTAAAAAATATTCTAAAAGAGTAAGGAGTTTTGTAAAGTAACTAAATATTTGTACATACGAGGCGTATATATAGAACCGAGGTACTGCTCTTAAACCAACAAATTTTAGAAACGAGAGAGTTGAGCATTATTTCCTCTTGTGAACAAGAGTATGTGCAAACCTATATCGCCTAATATTTATTTCAATGGTAGCAATTTCAACCATATATGTTATCTTGGGTTATGAACTCTACTCTACAATATCCTGCTTGCCAACAAAAACTCCAACTGACCACTGCTTATTTGCTTTCTGAGATAGTACTTCTAGCAGAGCTCAAGAATTTCAAGAGATGGTCCTTTCTGAGATAGTACTTCTAGCAGAGCTCAAGAATTTCAAGAGATGGTCCTCTTCGTTGCAATCGCAAGATCGTTAGGTCACAACTGCCTTAAAGAATCGAAACCCTACCTATCTGGACTCTTCAATTCCAAGAGTTCCAATCTCTGTAACTGGCAATATCAGAGTATCAGAACTTTGCTTTTGGAATCCGCTTCCGAATGCGTTAGGATTAAGAGGCTCTCCGATTCCGATTCCGGTAATTCAATTACGTATCTTGTTCAATCGCATTATGTATATGTCAGTGAATTGAGAGGAGTTGTTAAATTATCTTTCTAGATGGTATTTGCATTAGATTTGTTATGGTATACCCAATGCTTAGATTAGGTTAAAAATGTTTTTGCACGTGGAAGAGAAAAGGGAAGGCTTAGCTTAATTACTGATGTTGGAACATGTCTTTTTTTATTTCTATAGTGAATTTAACAGAAACCCACCAGAAAATATTGTCGGAGTTGCAACTTTTCTGCGAGGAACTGTAAGCTGAAGAAACAAGAACTAAAAAAGAACTAAAAAGCTTGAACAAAAGGGTTTTGTTTGGAAGTGGGATACTGATGAAAATGGAAAATGCTACTGAATTATCTAGTACAATCACACACACAAACACATATATATGCATCTAGATATATGTATTTATGTATATGTAAATGGATTGAAAGGAATTGCTAAATTATCTTTCTAGATTGTATATGCATTAGATTTGTTATGGTATACCCAATGCTTAAATTAAGTTTCAATTTGTGTTATGCAAAAATGTTTTCGCACATGGAAGAAAATAAGCAAAGGGTTAGTTTAATTGCTTTTGTTGGAACATGTTTTTGTATTTCTGTAGTGGAATTAACAGAAATGGAGTGGAATAGACAGCTTGGTATACAATTTTTTTTGAGAGAAACTGTAAGCAAAAGAAACGAGAACCAAAAAGCTTGAACAAAAGGGTTTTTTGGAATTGGGAAACTAATGAAAATGCAAAATGCTATCAAATTTTTATGTACTATCACACACACAAACACATATGTATGCATATAGATATATGTATTTATGTATATGTAAGTGAATTGAAAGGAATTGCTAAATTATCCTTCGATATTGTATATGCATTAGATTTGTTATGATATACCCAATGCTTAGATTAGGTTTCAACTTGAATTATGCAAAAATATTTTTGCACATTGAAAAAAGAAAAAAGAAAAAAAGAAGAGAAGGATTAGTTTAATTGCTGTTGTTGGAACATGTTTTTGTATTTCTGTAGTGAACCTAACAGAAATGGAGTAGAATTGACAGCTTGGTATTACAATTTTTCTGAGAGGAACTGTAAGCTAAAGAAATGAGAACCAAAGGGCTTGAACAAAAGGGGTTTTTGGAAGGTGGAAACTGATGAAAATGCAAAATGCTACCAAATAATCTTTGGAAAACTCAATCTTTAAAATACTAGAACTCTACCAAATTTTGATATGTATTTATTACACTATTTTCTGGAAGATCCATTTCCTCCTTGCCTGTTAATTAACTGTGTTATGCTCATATTCAGCTACAAAATTTGTTGAAGTCTTTATGCTCTCTAAACTTTGCCAATCAAACTATAATAATTTTTATATTATTTGTTTTATATGTATTGTCAAGCAAACTCTAAATGGTTGTATAATTGTTAATATTTTCGGAGTCATAACTCTTCAATTAGCATGGTGTATTTATTTTGTCTTGTCACTGTTCTTGCTATTGAACTCTCACAAGCTAAGATAATAGCAAACCACTGGGGTTGCAACCCATTTATATGTTTTCCATACAGAGAAAAAAGGAAAAACTTACACCTCTATCCCCTAACCTAAAAAAAAAAAAAAAAATCATCTTTCCCCTTGAAACAGTACTGTCTCTCTTTCCATATGCACCACCACATACATGATAACGTTACCCTCCAACATCTCAACTTGCATGGTCACTCTGCACTTCGTCCAGCTGTTCAATATTATAAAAGCAGAACGAGGTATAACCAGTAATTCCCTAGCCATTGGGCAGTGAATTACAAATGACGAACATTTTTGCATCACCATTACAAATTCAGCATCAGTATTCATATTCTTTTTTTTTTTCCCCTTGAATATTCAGATTCGATTAATTCTCAATAGAAAAATACTCTCTAGATAAACAACCTTGAAAGGAACTTTGGTATGTCAAATATATTCAAGGTATTTCTGAAGGCCTTCCTCTTCTTAGCACTTCAAATTTCCTTTCTTTGAGCACCCATCTGAAAGACTTCCATTTTGATCAACCATGAAAGCACACAGGATCATGAAGCTAACTGCATGTTTCTCCGAATTGTGCAATGCTTTGCTAAGGTGTTGATCTAAATATTCTAAACTACTACTCTCTTTGACAGCACGAGTAGTCTGCCACGAGGGCATTCTATCCACAACTCTGCTTATTAGACTTGAGAATAAAACCTTCAAAGGGCCATTGCAATACTAGAATATGCCGTAGCCATTTCCCACTGCCAAAAATAAATTAAATCTTCAAGAAATCCTCCCTAACCATTCTAGTGCCCTTTCTAAAGCCTCATCTGGTGATTCTGGTGAAAAAGATGATTGTTATGGAATGAATACAGAATACCTAATCTACCCTACTGCTACCATACTCTCTCCATGAAACTCCCATAATTTTTGTTTTTTTATTTTTTTTATTTTTTACTTCAACTATTTTCCCAACCGTATCAACTAGCTAGAGCTTTGTGTTGCGAACTTACGTATCTTTTTCTTAACCAATTTATAACCTAAAATACTATTCTGAAGCTTTTGAGGCATTCATCACCTGATGTCACTGTAAGAACATGGACATAACGCACATCTGAAGGCTTAGAGAGTAACACCAATAAGGGTAAGCCTGCCCCCTTTTGAGTTTTGTCTAGCCCTATTATTTTCACAAGTCACAACAGAATTCTACACTGAAGTAGATTTAAAGGATGAAAGCATTGGCAGCCCTACGTCAGTCCCTGGTGGGACTTGACTCTACACCCAAGACAATCACCACTCTGTCCACCGCCACCAGCTCTCAGTTACATGATGCAACCAACTGACAATTGTCTTAAAATGCAACCTCAGACAATTCAAATATCAAGATAACTCAACTAAAATGCCCCAACTTCTCTTCCTTTGTCCTACCAAAACTAATAGTGTTGTCTCAAATAAAAATACAGTAGCTCTACCTCAAAACCTCTTAAGAACCTCCCTTGCTACCATTTATAATATCCCATAATACACGAGGAGACTGGGTGTCCTCTGTCTTCAGCATCTTGAATTGCTGAAGAATCCAGCCAGTTTTCTATCTATAAAATTTTTAAATTTCATTAGAGAGAATTTAATTCATTTTTCCACTTCAGGTTGGACCATCCTTTCTACGGAGAATTTTTAATGCTTTGATCAAATACCTCTTTAAGTTTTAACTTGAAAAGAACTGCCCGCTTATTGCTCCTGATCCTTAAATCACATACTCCTATCATCATTAAAATTGCAATTACATTTCGTCCCCAACAAATAACACCCTCAATTGACTTAATGGTCATAATTGAAACCTTCCTTATTTCATTTTTAAATATAATTATATACCCAAGTTTAATAAGACACTATTATCCTTTAGAGTTTGGTTTGATTGAAACCATCTTCTTCTCCCTCACTACTTTATCAACTACAAACTAATGAGTTTTATTTACAGGAATTATTGAGGTTAACTTGGATAGGCCTGAAGCAAAAAATGCCATTGGGAAGGATATGCTGAGAGGATTACAGCATAGCTTTGCAGATATAAGTAGGGATCCTTGTGCAAATATCTTGATGATCACCAGTTTAGTTCCCAGAGTTTTCTGTGCTGGTGCTGATTTGAAGGTAAAATATCTACTTCTGTTTTGGAATCAAGTTAATCATGCAAGGAGTAGATATTGAGTTATTTTACATAAAATTTGAAGAGAAATGAAGGATGTACATGATAAAGGGAAGAAAGAATAAAAATCTTTGACTTATCTAGCAAAGAAGAGGAAAAACAAATAATCAGTCCATTCATACTTAATAATGAAGAAAGAATCCACTTAATTATTTACAAAAAGTAACAAGAGCACAATTGCACATAAACCTCGAAGGCTTAGCATACATCACCATCCCAAGTACTACTGTACCTTTCTCTAATTTAAATCTCAAGGAAAAAAAAAAAAAGAAGAGAAAAGAAAAGAAAGTAAACATGTCTTTTTTAGATTGACATGATGAAAGAACTTCTTTGTGAAGGGGAATATCCACACAGTAGTTCAACCACAAACAACAAACACTTGAAATGGAACTAGCGATGGTTCTTGAGACCAGCCTTCAACCACCCTAGTAATCCATGCAGCCATTTAGAGGGAACTTTAATCCTATGTTTTTTCTCCTTTTTTTTTTTTTTTTTTTTTCGGTTGCTCTTTTATGTTATTTATCTATTGTTTGTTTTTAATTAGAATGTCTTCTCCTTGTTTGTCATGCTGGTTCTTTAGACAGTGGAAGCGGAAAAATTAAAAATTTTCAGGATCTTTATATCATATATCCTTCGAGTACTCTCGAACTAGTCATAGGAAGTTATTTTTATGAGAAAATTGAAGAAAGCTTGTCTTGAAGCCCCTTTGTCCTTCGCATCTATCTCCTTAGGAATCATGCATCCACAATGAGTAAGCGGGAAGCCACACTTCTCTTCAAGTCTTTAATTGCTGGCTTACTCAATTCCTCATGTCAGAATCAATTGGCACATGCTCAACCATTACATTAATATATTGCATCCATGGGCTAGAAGGGTTCTCTAGGGTTTCCTAATCATAGCTCTATCGGATTAAGAATCCCCACACCAAATATCCTCCCAAAATTTAATACTTCCTTCATCATGTTATATCCCATCAGTGTTACTTAGTTTATTGCTGCCCCAACAACCAACGCCCACCCCCACCCCTACCACCCCAGAGAGAGAGATAGAGAACTTTTCAAAGTAAATATCTTTTTATGTGTATATTAGAGAACATTGTCTACTACAATGTTCTAAAATGACTGGACCTGGGTTCCAATGATTAAATTAATTCAAGGAATAGCATTGTCTCTTTTGGAGAGTGGATTTTTTATTGACATTACACTCTCTGATATTAATCACCATGATGTTGAGGTATTAACCACAAAAGATTTCACATTTGTAAGTGAAAAGTAAATAAAAGCAACTAGGGGAGAAAAAGAAAAAAAAAAAAAAAAGTAAGATAAAAGCTCAAGTTAACCAAACTTGTCAGAGTTAAAAGAGTCTATTGCATTTAGTAGATAAGAGTCACTTTAAAAGTGACAGTACTTTCCACGATTTTCTAATTAAGTAATGCTGATTCTTTCCGAGTGTCCGTTGTTTTTCAAATGTAAAGTCAACTACTCCAGTAGTTGAGAGTCTTGAGATGAACCATTCAACTTGTGGAGGTCCATTGAATTATAATACTTTAAATAAATGACCCGACTTTATCACTGACTATGAATAGTTTTTAAGTCACTGGTGACAGTTACAATGCCCAATGCACTAAATATGTGTTTCAAATAACACATTCCTTAAATTGATAAACAAAATATCAACTATGAATGGTATTTGCTTCTTGGCAAACAATCCCAATACGTCATTGCTATTTATTTATCTGTTTGGGTTCACGTAATGTTTATTACTAGTTATCTGTGTGAATGTCTATCTCGCTCTCTCTCTTACTGGTTGATCTTGATGCTCGTATCCTTCTTTTTATCATACTTTTGAGTGAGTTGATTCACTTGCCTAACAGTGTCTGTGCTATAAATTGGTAGGAACGGAAGACCATGAGTCCATGTGAGGTTCAGAGTTTTGTTAACTCTCTACGCTCCACCTTCTCATTCTTGGAGGTTTGTCTTCATCAGACATCATGCTTTCCGATAACCAACTTAAAGTTGCGTATAAAATGCTTAGAATCCATTTGTGAACTTCGATTATAATTATTAACGAACATTTCCGGTGTTTTTGTGATGCTATATGCTATGCATGCACCACTTTTACCACTCACATATCAATCCCTTAGATGCCCTGTTGATGTCTTATTTAATCAGAATTGCTTTCCTCTGCTTAGACCACTTAATAATTATATTCAGGCACTTCGAATTCCTACTATAGCTGTTATTGAAGGTGCAGCATTAGGCGGGGGACTGGAAATGGCTTTGTGTTGTGATTTTCGGATATGTGGTAATTCTGTATTTTTGATGCTTTGAGTTCACATTACTAGATTATAGTATGTGCTCTACTTTGTCTACTTAACCAAAGTAGAAAAAGATTATGATTTGCGCTCCCAACTTTTTGAAGTTGATAGTTTCACCATTGGTGATTCAGGTGAAAATGCAGCGTTGGGCTTGCCTGAAACAGGACTGGCTATAATACCTGGGTATGTCTTAACATCTTTAATGAGATTTTATCTTCGTATATTTTTCCTTGTGGGATGCAAACTTCATCAGTTTTGTCTATTAAAGAAGTTAGGAAGTTATGCAATCTTCTTTCTGTTTGTTAGACCATTCGTCATTTTACGTGTTTTCTGGCTGACTGATAGCTGATGAAGAACGGTAGCACTTGCCTGCTCATTTTTCATGTTTGGAGGATGTTATAGCTATATATTTTTTGACAGACTAAACCTGCCTTCATTTTGGCATGAATAAGTTTTCAACAAAGGGGTCTTGTTTCGGCACATTATCTTATCACGGAGTCATGGCCTTTTGCAGGGCAGGTGGGACCCAACGGCTTCCTAGATTGGTTGGAAAGTCCATAGCAAAGGATCTTATATTTACTGGTCGAAGAATTGGTGGCAGAGATGCCGTCTCAATGGGTATGTTTGGGAGCTTCTTCAAGATTGAGATTTAGTTGGTCCTCATTTAGCAATGAAGATGTGTTATGATGTAGGCCTTGTCAATTACTGCGTTCCTGCTGGTGAAGCTTATTCAAAGGCCCTAGAAATTGCTAGGGACATAAATCAGAAGGTACATAACAGTTTTTCCCCAAAATCTCCGTATATAGAATTGTGTCATGTGTAGAATACTTATGCAGTTTGAAAAGGTCTCATTGTAAATGTTTTACTGACAGGATCTTTTGCACTTTTATTTGATGCCCATATGCTGGATTATTATTTTCTTTGCAATTTTAGATTTCAGAGAATATCCTTGAATCTTTAGACTTTTTATGGTTTTTTTAGGCTATTTGATTTTTGTTATGAGAACTTAGTTTTTTTCAGCTCATGAAAAATGGTGTACGAGTGTGGGACCTTGCTGAAAACAACGATGATGAAAGTGGTGGCAGGTTTTGGTTAGGTTTGGGCAAAGCAGCAGCGGTGAGAGAATTGATCGAATGATAGGGGAGGTGGTGGTCCTGATGGAGGTGAAGGTGTGAAGGAGGTGGGTTTATCAATGGAGCTTGTATGGGTGAAGGGGTCAACAGTAATTGGTGGTCGTGGAAGGATGAAGGAAAGAGAAAGATAGATACATAGAAGAGGGAATTTAGAGATTGAAAAGAGATCTCGGAGAGAGGGAAAGGAGAAGAAGAAAGATTGACTTAAATTTTACTTGCTTGGAAAAAGACATTTTTTACCCCTACATATTGCATATTGATACTAATACATCATATTGTTCTCAGGGTCCAATAGCAATAAGGATGGCAAAGCGAGCTATAAACGAGGGACTGGAGACAGACATGGAATCAGCTTTGGAGTTGGAAGAAGATTGCTATGAACAGATTTTGAACACAAAAGATCGCTTAGAAGGCTTGGCTGCATTTGCTGAGAAGCGAAAGCCTAGATATACGGGTGAATGAAAGAAACCAGAATTTTGATAATGAATCGTTTCTAGCGCTGTTGATCTCTTGTGCTTGATCACCATGCCTGTTTATCATCTGAGTCTGTGCAAAAGCTGCATGCTAGACATATTTCTCAGAAGGCTTGGCCACATTTGCCGAGAAAGTGAAAGCCTAGATATCCAGGTGAATGAAAAGAATCACAACTTTGACAGTTTCTCTTGTGCTTGATGTTTACCATTCATGTTAATCATTTGGGTCCTTGCAAAACCTGCACGCTAGACATACTTCAATTTACATGCTAATAATTTAAATCATGTTGTTGATGGTAAAATGACGTTGCGGGGAGTTTTGGACAGAAAAATGACATTAACTTAATATTGGCTACTCTATGTTAGTAATGGTACATTAATAAAATTCATTTTCGAATAATAATAGTTGCTAAACATTGTCTTTCATTTCTAGCTTGCTCTTTAGAACCAATGTGTGGAGGTTATTACATTTTAGGTCTACTGTCTTGGAATGAATGATCTCAAAACAGTCTCTATTACCTAACTGTATGAATTACTTGAAACGAAGACACTGTCTGGTAAGATAAATTTGTAGCAGATCAATTGTCATCCTATCAGAACCTATTACAGGGGATTTTAGATAATAAATTAGAAAAATAAATTCCTTGCAGGGCATACATAACTTGTTTATAGTAGTTTAGTTCAACTGGAGGTCACGAGTTGTTCCATTGTGACTTGGAGGTCACAGGTTCGAAATAAAAAACCATCTCTCCGCATGCAGAGGTAAGTTTGCGTTCCGTACATCTAATCATCCTCAGACCTGACGGGAGGGAGACTCGTCACTCATGCAGTGGGCTAGCTCTATTAATTCAACTGTAAAGTAATTGGTAATTTTAGTATTTCCTTCTTGTTTTATCTTCATTTTCTTGGTTATACCATCGGTATAAGGTGTATAAAGTATAAAAGTATAATAAGCCCTCACTAACTGGTATGGCAGCTAAATGTGAAACCAATATATAGAACACCAAGTCAGTCAACAAACACAACATACAACTTGGGACTCTTGACCAGTTTGCAAAGAGCCTGATGCATTTAACCACGTTATATCTAATAATTTATTTCCATGTCTTTCTTGACCGTACATTTCATTAGGAATGGAAAAATAATTTATTTCCATGTCCCATAAAAAGTGCCACTTTTAGGGAATCGTGACTTTCACAAATTGAACTGTTTTCGAAACACGACACTATTTTTGGGACGGAGGTAGTAATAATCATCAATTAGTTCTATGAAATAGATAGGGGTTGACAAGTGTCCCTATCTTGGCACTCATTTTGCTTGGTTTGGATAGCAATTTTAGATTAAATAAATAAATAAAAATCATATTAAAATGGTTATATTCAATGGGTTGAGGTTGACCTATGATATCTTTAATTTCATTTTCATACTTCTGTTTTTTTGAATCATTTATTTTATTTATTTATTTTTTTAATTGGTACTCATACAAACATATTTTTTTGAAACTTAAACCTTTGACCTCCCTTTGGAAAGTAAGACTGATACCGCTAGACAATTGGCCCGTTGGTATTTATTGTTTGCATGAGTAAATTTGTATAGTGTCTATTAGATCGTATTTAGACTAGAATTGCACCAAACCTTCCTTACTATTTAGTAGAGAAAAATGGTTTGGTGTCCGAACTCGAGAACTAAGTGCCTGTTTGGCTAGTGCATTTGCTTCTTGTTTTTTGCTTTTGTTAGTGTACTGTAACAAAGCAAAAGCACGAAGCATGTTTGGTAATATTTGATGTACTTTTGAATAGTACCAAAGCACTTGTAAAATTGAGGTTAAAATCGGAAGTATCAAAGTGATGTTTTTGTTTGCTTCCACACTGTAGCAAATCACTGTTAAAAAAAAAAAAATTCTAATATAACATTTTTAACTAACCATTCAAAATTTTGAATTTGTAACATTTTTTATCACACATGTTTTTATATTTTTATTTCTAAAAATCTTGTAACAAATTTACGTTACTAAACAAACTTTTAAAAAAGGTTGAACACACTGTAAAAGCAAAAGCATTGCCCGGTGATTATCGAAACAGCCAAAAAATTGAAACAAAGAGAGCGATGACTCACTAGTCGTCGGTTGGATTCATCATTTTCCCTGTCATTTTAGAATGTTAGAAAAGTCATCCATATCTTCTGTAAACAATAATTGAATTTAAGTTATGACTAATGAGTTTTCACACTTGAATTTTTACTAATTCAAGTTATGACAATGTGTTTTCATACTTGATATTTTTCTTTTTATACTAATTCGACTTTTTGATACCTTGACGTTACGATGCTATTGGTGGTTACATAAAAACAGTCTGAATTATGTGTATAAACACATGTTAAATAAGATTTTGCATCTCCTTCGGAAAAGACCGACTCCAAGACATTTTTTTCTTATAATCTTTAACAGAAACTCCTCTGTTTTCAGAACTGATTAAAGTACTGATAACAATTGTTCTTGGCATTTAGAAATTCAGAAAATTGATTGACAGTAAAATTAACAACTTTCTTCCCTTCTCACCTCTATTGGTTGAAGACTGAACACCAAGGCATTTCCAACCTTCCCCAAATAGCAGTACACAAAGGAAGCCAATCCCAGTAGTAGCCAATATTCTGTGTCCATTTATATCCAGACCATGGTTTTCAGTATAGGTCGCCATGTAATGAATTCGGACAAAATTAGTATAAACTGACCGAATCACTTGTCAAACTAAAAAAAAAGTCGCGTATCACTTTTGTTTAACCAGTAGCTTATGCATACACAAACAATTTGACAATGCAACTAGGCATAAGGTATTAACGTTGGAAGGGGAATTCAATGATATAAGTATAAGATAAAAATGAGGGGAATTCAATGATATAAGATAAAAATGACAAAACGTAATATATATAGTGTATACATGAGTGTATATATATATATATATATATGATTAAACTACACTTGTGCAAATGCCTCGTAAGAACTCATTTTCATAACAAAATGTTACATAAAAGAATAGAAAATTTCCTTTTGCAAAAAGAATCATCAAACAAACAAAAGAAAACCACCCATTCACAACCCCAAATAGCCCTTCATTTTCGCTTGAAAATTTGAGGGTATCATGATCTCATTGTTCTTTAATGTACAATACTAAAATTTTATTTTTTTATAACAAGTACCCTCCAACCAACAACTGTTCTTGTTTCACCTCCAATCCAGCTTGTCCCACCACCGGCACCGCCGAGCCCACCACCTTCCTCCGCCGCTTTGGCAATCCATTATCGGATGACGATGAAGGCTCCGACAATGAGGAAGACCTCTTGGACTTAACCCGACCTGGCTCGGGCTCGCCCGAATTTATCCGAAGCGGAAAATTGAGCAGAGCACGTGATTCCGGGCATGCGGTACGACGCCTGGTCATAAGCCAACGCTGCATCCTCCGCTGTCTCGAACGTCCCGAGCCAAACTCGGGCCCCTTTCTTCGCCGGATCCCTTATCTCTGCCGCGAACTTCCCCCACGGCCGCCGCCTCACCCCTCTATAATGCTTCCCCTTCGCCTGCACTACCGCCAGCGCCGCCGTATGCGGCGGCGATGCCACCTGAAACGTAAAATTATCCGGGGAGCTAGTCATTTCTGTCAGAATTTCCGGCTCTTCCTTAACGGCGGTGGTGGTGGTGGCCAAGAGAGAAGGGAGCCACTCGATGTTGATGGCGTCGAGGAGGGCGCCATAGTCCACCATGTCCGCTCGTTTTCTATCAAAGGCAACTCACCCCAGTTGTCAGTGAATAATGGGAACAAGCTGCCGCCGGAGCAAGTGACGCCGAATTGACTCGAGCGGAGCAAAGTCGGAATCAAAATCACTATTTGTGTACATTGTCAAATCAGAATTTGAGTCACTGAAATCCTAGATATGGAGCCTTCTAAGTGTTAGAAGAGCATATCTAGCATTTGGGTGCGGGTTCGATTCTCTTCCAACGCTACAAATTCCTGACTTATCTGCTATTCGCACTATGGGGTCGGGATGGATAGCCGAAGGTTTACCTGGTAACTACAACTCTGCTGACACCTCTTGGGGGTAGGTTTATGTCCCCTTGCTTGTGCTAACATCACTATTTGCTTCATTCAAAAAGGTCCATATTATGATGACTGATCTGTGGTCATTCAGCTCTTGGTATTTGTCCCTTACAAGAGTAAATGGTCTTAGATGCTTCAAACTTAAAAGCGCGTTTTGCATCACTATTTGTTTCTTGACTGCTTTTATTGGTGAATTGTTGACAATAACAACAATAAATTTAGGAGTGTTGATTTGGACAGCGACGGATCTAATGTATAGTGAGTAAAATGTATGTATAAATATATGCATGAAAAGTGGGATCAAAAGCATAAGTAGAAGAAGTTAAAATGACAAGCAAAGCTTCTCCGACCGCTTCTTCTGTCATATGCTGCTTGTTCATGATTTGGATTATCATGGTTTCACCTCTACTCTCCGCGCGAAAATTATCCACCACTCTCAGTAGCTGTAAGTACACTCTGTCTCCGTGTGTTGTGTGTGTGTATGATATGTCTGTCTCTCTCATTTATTCATGTTGTCACGAGTTTTGCAGACGAAGATAGTAAAATTGGATCATATAAAAACGATTTTGATCGCTCCAAATCTTCAAGTGGTTTTCCTCGCACTCCTCCCATTAGTGAATTTGAGTCCATGCCTCCCGAAGTTGCAATCGCTGATAAACCATAGTCAGTAAAACTGAAACCAGAAAAGCAGCTCTTCGCATATATGTGGTGGGATTAATATTAGTGATCCGTAACAAATCTAAGATCCATTTATTGAGATGTGAGAGCTTGTATTATGCATGGTTATATATATATATATATATATATATATATATATATATATATATATATATGCGACTATGTTCTTCAACTCGTATCGGATTCGAATGAAAAGTGAAAGAGGTATAAATGGGTGAATATGCAGCACTACCCAATAATTTAAGTTTTTGGTAAATGGGTAAGCGTCCACTCATTATAGTTGGTATTAGAGCCAAACTCAGCTTTTGATCCGGTGTCACGTTAATCGCTTAGCCTAGAAGATGTCCGGGTGAGCTACCTGAGTAGGCAAGATGGCCCGACCGTCTATCCACTCTCATGAATATATTTATTTTTCTTAAAAAATGTAACAAAAACAAAATTTTGAACATTAGACTGAGGCTAACATCAATTCATCAACATGTGGCTAAAAGGAATTTCAATTTAAAATTCACACCATCCAAACATAAATTTAATGTTAGCCAAAAAAATGTACATTCGCTAGTAGACACTCCATTTTTGCCATCCC